CCATTTACTCCTCCCTGATCTCACCTTAGCCGACATCACGGACCTTTTTCACTGATTACTAGTTGACCTGCTTTGCTCCTGCTTCAGATTGCTGAAGATGATCTGGATCACAGGAATCACACTGGAAAAAATCATTTGTTCATTTTTAATTCTGAATAGATATGAGGAAAAAAAAAATCTTGGAGCTGATAGTTAAAAATGAATCTGTCTGATCAAAGCCATGAACAACCTGACAGATATTCTAAGCTGGCCCAGCCATGAGTGGGAGCTGGACCTTCAGAGGTCTGTTCCATCCATGGTTTGAAGCCATCATTCCAGTTTAAGTGTCCTGTACCCTCACCTTCTACACGTTGCCCAAGAGCAGAGAACAACAGTATTGCAGAAGAGGCGGGCTTTACAGTTTCTTCCAATTAAAGATCTTCTTCATTTGTGGTTAAGCTCCAGATCGGTGAGGATGATCAGGGAGAGGAGCCTTTTGTGATATGGGTGAGGTCAAGAGTTTATGGTAAGGTCTGTCTTCAGTCACAGATATTATCTATCTATCTGCATCATTTCTAGCTACTGAAGTCAAATTTAGATGAGGGAACTGAGGAAGTTACACTTTCAGCTCTCTTTAGTGTTTGCTCCTTTGTCAGTACCCTTTAATCTGTGCTGAAAAAAGACAGAGTTTCAACCAGCAAATGAAAAGGAGAAGAAATTGCATACGAGCACCTTGTGTCTCTTTAGAATGGGCAATCTGACTTGGCTCATGGAGTGTACTTTTCTTCCCAAATGCCCTTTCTTTCCTGAAAGTTGAAACCAGGTGTAAGGGTTCAGGCAATCCACAGAATTTTAGCTGTTCTTCAATTAAGTACATCAACACAGATGAATGAGGACTGAGTAGGAGGATGGGCAGCTCTGGTCCAAGGCTGAACTCAACTAATGGAATAAAAGAAAGGAGAAATTCCTGGACATAGCCAGGCTGTTAAATAACTAAATAAGTCATCTCTTATTGTGCCAGGCTCACCAGTCAGAAAGTCTTGAATTTTGGATCCTTGAGAAGTACAAACATAAACACAAACCAGTCCTTCCAGATGACACGAAGTAAAAAGTTCTTAGATGGTGTACCAAAGATGATCTTGTAAAAACCTCTAACAGTACGGGTGGAACAAAGAAATAAAGCCTATTCATTTTTTGTAATACCTAGCTTGGACAATAGAAGGCAGCTGGAATAGGAGTAATTCCCAAGGGGAAAAGGAGGAGTTCCCATACAAACTTTCAGAAGGGTTAGTTTGTGTTTTTTCTCATTTTGTCATACACCTTGCCCCCCACCCCCCACCCCGAGAAGGTGCTAAGCGTTGCAAACTATGCAGGCTTCTGTAAAACCTGTATTCACATTAAATAAGAAGAGAGGAAAAGAGGTTTCACAATTATTCCTTTGACCATGGATGAAACACAAAACTTTCATGGCAGTGGGACGAAATTTAGCTTCTTTCTGAAAGGAAGGTGAGAAAGGTGGCCTTTGCTTGTTGTGAGGTGCCCACCAACTTCGTTGCTCTCCAGTCCTCTTTTTGACAACAGTTTTGCTTCTTGTTTAAATTCTCGTCCCTCACCACTGCTGTGAGTGACACCTCTCAAGTGTGGTGGGAAAAGGAGCCCATCCACTGTTCATCATTGAGTCCTTCAGGGTACCATTCAGCATCTATGGAGAGACGCTGACCTGAGGCACTTCAGGGCTTTAGATCTACCCCATGGAGATCGGGATGAGGGCTGGGAGAACCCGTGTGCTCAGGATCCCATGGGTTTTCTCCAAGACCACTGCAGAGTTCAGCTGTGCCCATGAGGAGACCATGAGTAGCAGGTGGATCCCATTCCTTCAGAGCCAGACTGTGACAGGCTCACAATAAGAGGTGACTCTGCCTGCTCTGATCATTGTCTGTAATTAACACCTTCAGTTTTACAGTGAGGTTTATCTCAGCTCTGCGTGTAACTAGAAAAGCTCAAAATATTATTTCTAAATGCCAGTAGTCAACCTGGAACTCTTCCTCCCTGGTGTGCAATGTAGAGAAATGGACATCTGGAGAGAATTGTTTCTTTTCTCTAACATTTCTGTCCAAAAATTTTGGAGTTATGTGACTGCCATGTAGATAGACCCTGCCTGCCTTGCTGCCCTGGCTCAAATGAGAGCTTAAGGGCTCTAGGTTGACTTTGCTTTGTAGTTCTTAGAATTGTAAAGCTGGGTGAGTTACTTATTCCATCTCTTTGGGTTTGGGCTGAATTGCTTAAGTATGAGCATCTTGTGCCATTTGATGAGACATGGCCACATGGGAGCTGGCAGGTGAGGCACAGGAGACTCATGTCCTACAGGAGCATCAGCTGGTGGCTGTAGAGAATACTTCAGGTCACCCAAAATGTTACCAAATGTTTATTTTTAGGTAACTAAGTTGTTCCCCAAGAAGCAGCTGAGAAGAATCCCAGCCCTAGATCGCAGGCAGCATTAGAGTTGGTGAGCTAAATCACCTCTTCTCATTGAACTGGAGAGAGGCTGATCTCCATGCAGAAATGCAGATACTGATGCTGATAGAAGTCACAGAGCTGGGTCTATGCAGGGGCAAGATCAGAGTGTTGTAGATCCCAGGCTTTCAGGCTTAAAGGAGCTGGAAGAAAACTTATATGTTCTTTGTCTGACTTCTTTCTGCAGTGCTGTGAAAGACTAGCAAGTGGGTCGGCCCTCTGACAGTGACAGGTTCCTTCCTCCCATGACATCATCTTCCACATCATCCCACTGATGGTGTTAAGGGAGCTGTTGCCTTTAGGTCCAGCCAGCCCTTTCCTTCACCATCGTGGATTCCCTGGAGAAAAGAGCTTTATGCAAAGAAATAAAAGATAAAGTGGGAAGAAGCAATGAGGCAGAACCAGGAGAGGCTGTCCCAGTGAGTGGAGGGAGCAGTGTATCTGTTGAAGAAAAGCTTGGAAAATCTAGCATAAAGGACATGCAGGTGCAATCTCAGCTGCAGGGCAGCAGGTAGAACTGGACAGAAAGGAGCTTTGGGGTGACATTTTGGGAGCTGGGTCTTTGTCTGAACAGTAGGTTCTGTCACAGGTCCCTACCGTGATTGGCACGGCATTGCTCTGTAGAAGTCTTTCTCTGCACTGCTTTGACAGAGAGTCCCAAGTCAGGAGCTCTGTCAGGGATGTTAAACTGTTCAATATTTAAGGTGAGAACACAGGCGTGCAACATTCCTTTTACCTGCAAGAAATAAAGACTCTGCTGATCAAAATCAGCATGCCATTTGAAATAAAGTGTATTTGTTTGCTTTAGGATTGGGTATGTATTCCGTGAGAAATATTTGTAGGAAGAAGGTGTATGGACAAACCCTCCAGGCTCTGAGGAAAAGACAGCTGGGTGTCTCCTAACCTTCCCTGAAGTGGCTCATTCTGAACTAAATTTACTTCATCTGGCTCTCTCTGGGATTGTTTCCCACTGGAACCAAAAGAGCATAGATGATGAGATCAGAGGAGTCTCTTTTCACTGATGGTGTCTAAAGTTTGGTGAGGTCAGTGTCCTCCTTACAGGAGGTAAAGTTATTTCTTCTTTTACCAGATGATTCTTATTCCATTCAATAAGAATAAGAACACCAAAATACTCCAAAAAGTGTTGTATATCCCCTAGAAGATAAACTTTCTGAAACCTTAAGCAAAATACAAAGGCAACAAGGAGAAGATTTTTTTTTTTAATGTTTGTTTTTAGATGGTTAAGTCCCTCAGTCTTCTTTCCTTTCCTCCTTCCTTCCTTCTATTATGGCAATAAAGGGTAAAGCAACCCTTAAAGCAGTGGGAGTACTCATCAGTTTACTGAAAGTGAACCCACGTCACCTAAAATTTCTTTCCCAAAGCATTAAGTAATTTTGTTAACATTTTTTTCACTTTGTTCAACAAGGTAGAGTTCTACTGACTGTGAGGAGGATTTACAAGTCCATCTCAGGTGGACAAATGTCTGCCACCATGTGAGGAGAGGAGTGTATTCTGAGGCATGCAGTATATCCTTCAGAAGACAATTTCACATGGGATTTTACACACCATCTAAAACTCCAAGGGCACACAAACAGTCACAGAAGAATATCTTAAAAATAATGTATTTCTAGCACATTATTGTTATCTACTTAGGCTGTTTCTTTTTACTGTTTTCTTTTTCAGTGTCTTAAAAAAAGTAAATCTAAGGAAGAATGAGGGAAAATCATGACCAACAGCCTGAAACCAAGTACATACAATCATAGAATCATAGAATAGTTTGTGTTGGAAAGGACCTTTAAAGGTCATCTAGCCCAACCCCCCTGCAATGAGCAGGGACAATCATGGTGATTTGTTTCTCATAATGTCAATTGATGATTTGATTAATGATTTCTATGTTCTTAAGTAAAGATCTGATTTTATACTAACAAACTTTAAAAACATAAATATCGGTTAGTTTATCAATAGGCAGTCTGAGGTAACTGTAGGTGGGCATTCTCCTTTACAACAGAGGGAAAAAGACCTTTAAGGTGCAATTTCAGAGGGCGGTCTGGAAAATTCAGATGGATTCAATCCTTAAAGTGCCTTTTCCTCTCTGCTGACCAAAAAGGCAGATTGACTCAAGAGATAACCTGTATTTGCATTCCATCAGATAACTAGAGAAAAGAAATCTATGGATGCTAATAAACTCCAGTCTCAGCTGATATAAATAAGTATAAACACTTGATCTAGCTACCATATAGTCATCTCCATTGAGTTTGTGCTCTTGCTTCCCTTTCTAGAGGATTTAGAGTAACAAACACTTCTAAGGTACACTTCACCTCACCCTGCTGTGGTTATCCTCAGTTCAGATCATTTCTCCTTAAGAACTACCATTGTTGCAGCATATGACCTTCAGTGAAAACAATGTCACCCTTATTAGCAGCAACGGTTGACACAACACTGCAACTACCCAGGAGTGTGGACCGTGCAGAACAGGGCTGAAAAGTATGGGCCCGTGGCTATGTGTATTAATTTGTCTTGGGAAATGGTACGCTTTTCCAGAACGCCGCTTTGATCACTTTGTTGCGCAGGCTGTAGATCAGAGCGTTCAGAGTGGGAGTTACCAGAGTGTACATAATGCTCACTCTTTTGTTTTTCTTCTCTAATGGAGTGCTGGTTGGCTGGATATAGGTGTAGATGATGGTGGAGTAGAACAAGCCAACAATAGCAAGGTGTGAGGAGCAGGTAGAGAAGGCTTTCCACTTCCCTGCAGAGCCTTGGATTTTCAGGACGGTGGTGATGATGAGGCAATAGGAGAGGGTGACCAATAGGAAGTTTCCCATGCCCAGGATGATGTCTGCCATGTAAACTGTGATTTCCTTGAGACAGGTTGAGCTGCAGGACAGGGCAAGGACCGGGGGTATCTCACACAAGAAATTTTGGACTAAATTTGGCCCACAGAAGTCCAGCTGTGCCACAAGAAGGGTGTTTATGAGGGAATTGATGGTACCGATTCCCCAGACACCAGCCATTAAAGAGATGCAGGTCCCCTTGCTCATCATGGTTACGTAGTGAAGGGGCTGGCGGATGGCCAGGTATCGGTCATAAGACATGACTGTTAACAGTATAAGCTCTGTTGAGCCTGAGAAAGTGAAGGTGTAGAGCTGTGCTACACATCCCTCAAAGGAGATGGTGTTCTTGCCCAGGATCAGGTTCTCCAACATCTTGGGCAGAACTGAGGAGACACCTACCACGTCAAGGATGGCCAGGTTGGAGACGAAAAAGTAGATTGGGGTGTGAAGTGGTGGGTGGACAACAGTAGCTATAATGACAAATGAGTTGCTGAGGACAGCAGTGAGGTAGGGACACAAAGATATGGTAATCTAGAGACCTTGGAGGTGAGGGTTGTCAAAAACACCCTCAAGGATGAATTCAGAAACCTTGGTGAGATTCCGTGGATGCATTTGCCTTGGTGTCCCCTGTGTAGGAATAAAAATAAAGACATTACTGCATTACGGCCAGAACATATTCAATCCAATGTTAAAAACAGACAAAGACAGAGAGAGAGAGAGACAGATGTGTTTCCAAAGGCAAAAAAAAAAAACAACCCAAACAAACCCAAAACAAACTAAAAGCCCACAACAGAGAAAATAAGGGAGAAAATATTTCAGTGTACAAGGAAAGTCACATCAGTACTTGAACAGAATGGTAGATATTGCAATATTAATAATAATATTAATAATTAATAATAATAATAATAAATATAAATAAGATAAATTAATCTATGGATGTAGTTCTTAAAAAGATTAAAAAGACTTTTTTTTTTTTTTTCCCCTGAAATAGTATCAGAGACATTTTAAAGCAATCACATTGCATACTGGATCTTCCTTGACTGTGGTATGGACTTGGACTTCTACACATGAATCCCAAAGCATAGACGCTGAGACCTAATTTCCACCAGGGCTGTTTGGGTACAAAATGAATCTGCAGTGGGCTAAAAGCAAGACCTTTCAGAAGTGAAAGCAGGAAGAGGAGAAGAGAATAGTGTATCATTGTACCACAGGGTGATAGGTAGACAGAAGAGAACAGAGATATTGATTTATTAATTTATTAATTTATTAAACAAATATGCAATTTAAATAATTACCTTTCTAAAAGAATTTTAAAGTTACCTGAGGAACAGAGAAACAATGTTTGGCAGCTGTGCATCATGCACCTTACATACTTTATCTAACTATGACTGATCAGGGCTGTGAAGGGACCTCAGCTATTGACAGTGCAAACCTATTAATTGCAAGCAGAGAAGGGTGACATTTCTGACCATTTCTGGTGATTGTCCTCCAGGAAACTGGCTGGTAACAGAGAGATCAGAGACTGTCTGCATGAGGATTTACTCAACAGTTTAAGGCTGAAGCTGTCTCTGGGCTTGCATTTCACCAAGCTAGAGTGCTGCTAGCTGCAACTGGAGATCTTCCCAAATATGGTCGTTTCTAGTAGATTTTAAGTAGCTCTGTCTGGTCCACCCAATTTTGACCATCCAAAATTGTGCCTGGAATTCCTTGTGAAACGGCCAGGAAGAGGCTCCGATAGTCAGGTACAACAAACAGAGTTATAATTTCTGCCTTGAAGTCTAATGGCACAGAATTAGATCTTCAGTAGAATTCACCTCATCTCATTGCACTTCCAGGCAATCTGCAAACAGACTCTGCTGGTGGTTTCCCCTTCCGCTAGCGTCAATGGAGGGAGACTAACTCTTCCATAGCCTCACTCATCTCTTGATGAAGATACAAGTCTAAGATGGTTTACCTGAATTACTGTGCAGAGGCACCAGCCTTTACTCTCCTGTGTTGATTAAAACTTATCTCAGAATTAGGTGACTAATTTGGGGTTGAATATATCTCCACTTGTCATGTGTTTCATACAATATTAAGGTATTACTGGGATGAATAAGTGTGGAGCAAGTCTCTGTTCATTTTCCATCGAATTGAAGATGGTGATATAAACATTTATGACACGAAAATATTAATTTAAAACTGTAACAGTTAGTCTACCTATGACATGACACTGAAAGAGTCAGACAAAGATGGAACATGGAACATAACTCATTGTTGCATTATTAGACCCAGTGAAGAACATACAAAAGAGAAAATGGTAAAGAAAATAGAAAAGGGGCCAGCAACAAAGGATTCAAATTCTCACCTTTCATCAGGGGCACAAACAGTGTTCACAAGCCTTTCTGAAACAGTATCTTAAAACGTGCCCCATGTGTCAAGGTAGTTTCCTGTGGAGATTTCTCCTCCCTCATGAGTGTAGCTGAGAATGAGTTTGAAAGCATGCCCCAAGAGGAGAAGCCAAGTGGTGGCAACTTAGTTTAGCACTGAAGTCATGACCTGCAATAAATTAGCCAAATACCCAGTGGAGTGGGACCCAGACAGGTTTGGTAGCTAATTTGCCTCTAGGGGGAGAAGTTTCTCCTCATTTTCCCTCCTTGATAACACTGATATCAGTAAAGCTGACAAATTAGGTGGCCTTCTACAACGGGGTTACAGCGTGGGTGGATAAGGGAAGAGCAACAGATGTCATCTACCTGGACTTGTGCAAAGCATTTGGCACTGTCTTGCACGACATCCTTGTCTCTAAATTGGAGAGACATGGATTCGACAGATGGACCACTTGGTGGATAAGGAATTGGTTGGATGGCCACACTCAGAGAGCTGCAGTCAATTTCTCGATGTGCAAGTGGAGATCAGCAACAAGTGGCGTTCCTCAGGGGTCGGTATTAGGACTGGCACTGTTTAACAGCGACACGGACAGTGGGATTGAGTACACCCTCAGCAAGTTAGCCGATGACACCAAGCTGAGTGGTGTGGTCAACACGCTGGAGGGAAAGGATGCTATCCAGTGGGACCTTGACAGGCTGCAGAGTGGGCTCGTGCAAACCTCATGTATTTCAACAAGGTCAATTGCAAGGTCTTGCAGATGCATCGGGGCAATCCCAAGCACAAATACAGGCTGAGCAAAGAATGGATACAGAGCAGCTCTGAGGAGAAGGAGTTGGGAGTGTTGGTTGATGAGACACTCAACGTGACCCGGCAATGTGCATTTGCAGCCCAGGAAACCAACTGTGTCCTGTGCTGAATCAAAGGAAGCGTGACCAGCAGGTCGAGGGAGGTTATTCATTCCGCTCTTGTAAGGCCCCACCTGGAGTACTGCGTACAGCTCTGGGGCCCCAAACATAAGAAGGACATG